CGTGTAATTCATTTGCGCCCCATTGAGTGTCTTGCTTGCATAGTAGACCGGGTGGAGAACCTTGTTGTGACGTTGGCCAAGCATTGCTCCAATAGCTACACCACTGGCGTCACACATGAGCTCGAAAGGAAGAGACCAATCGGGTGTGACAATAATATGTGTCGTGGTGAGCCTTTGCTTCAATTCCTCAAAATCATTGAGGCATTTCTCATCAAACACAAATTTGGCGTCTTTCTCAAGGAGTTTGCACATAGGATTTGCAATTTTGGAAAAATCCTTGATGAAACGCCTATAGAATCCGGCATGCCCTAAGAAACTGCGAACACCTTTAACGGAACTAGGTGGAGGAAGCTTGGAAATAATCTCGATCTTAGCCCGGTCAACCTCTATGCCATGTTTTGAAATTTTATGCCCCACTACGATGCCTTCATCCACCATGAAATGGCATTTCTCCCAATTGAGCACAAGGTTGGCTTCCTCACATCTCTTAAGCACTTGTCTAAGGTTGTTAAGACAATGCTCAAAAGAGTCGCCTACTACCAAGAAGTCATCCATGAAGACCTCTAGAAAATCCTCCACCATATCGGAGAAAATGGACATCATGCATCTTTGGAAAGTAGATGGAGCATTGCACAAACCGAATGGCATCCGACTAAAGGAAAAAATTTCCATAGGGACAAGTGAACTTCGTCTTCTCTTGATCCTCCAACGCGATGTTGATTTGGTTGTAGCCGGAATATCCGTCAAGGAAGCAATAGAATGACCTTCCCGCTAGCCGATCGAGCATTTGATCAATAAAAGGCATAGGGAAATTGTAAGGCCCCGGAAAATTTTGCTAAGTAACCTGGGATCTCGTGGTGCCACGTAGGCTTATTATAGTATTTTTATAGGCTATTAACATGGTGTACATCAATTGGATTTGGTAAATATGTGTATAAGTCTTATGATAAGTAATTTGGGGTCCAAGGAATGGCCTAAGTCTAAGAAAAATTGGAAAAGTTCATAATAGGCTAAAATTCCAAATGAGCTTGCACTAGTCCATACTTTGAACGATCATATCTAAATATGTATAAGGTTTTATGTGATTAATAACCTATCAAATGAATGGTCTTCGAGTCTAGTTTCCAACGCTTCAAACCGTTCGTCATTTGGACATTCCTATGCAAAGTTATGATCAAATTACCAAAGGCTGGAAAATGCGATCCTGTGTCAAATCTGCGACCGCAAAACCTGTCGCATTTCTGACTTTGCGGTCGCATTTCTGTCGCAGACTGGGCCAGTGTAGCCCAGTTTTGGGCGCCGATTTTGTGGTGCATTATGCGGCCAGCATTCTCGTTTTGCGGTCCGTTCTGCTATAGCAGACCCGACATCGGAGGGTTAATTTTCTAATTTTTATAACACGACCCCATTTCAATATATAGGCTTCGGGGTTCATTTTGGGGCCATTTCTTACTGATTTTAGAGAGATATGCGAGCATATAGAGAGAGAAAAGAGAGGCCTAGCTTCATAACCATCCAAATCTTGCTCAAGTCTTCAAGAATCAAAGAACCCAATCACATGTTCTTCATCTAAGAGGTAAGATTCTATACCCTAGACTTTAATTTTGAGTTTGGGGTATAAGATGGGTTATTGAGGTATGATTCTTGGGTGTATTAGTATTATGTATACATGCATGTACAAATTAGGTTTATGGGAAGATTTTTGAACACAAATAAGTAAAGATTGGGTTGGGGAAATGAAGAAAACCTTGTAAAAGAGATTTGAAATCAAGATGCTCAACTAGTATTTGATAAAATGCTCAAATGAGCTAAAACCATGAATACCTTCCTAATTTGGGTTCAATTTTGTTATGTCTCAAAGTAGATTGGGATTGCTAGAATTCCCGGAACGTTGTAGTAACTTAAGAAAAGCTTAAACAAGGTATGTATGGCTAAAACCCCGTCTTTTAGAAATTGAGCTCTATCGATGCTTGTGTAAATGTGGTAAGACTGAACTTTGGATTCTTGCTTTGATTGATACTTTACATGAATTGGTGCTGTGACCCTATATTTGTAAAAGATGCATTCCAATGTGATCAATGTGCTATTTTTGATAACTTGAAAGGTGCAAGGAATATGAATCACGTATTGAAATGCTTAGACAATAAATTGAGATTGAAGAATGTGAAGTATATGCTAAATGGCCTAGATTTCAAATCGAGTTTAAATTGTGATTAATGTGCCGAATCATGAGGATTCCTCTCTATGCTTACAACTTGAATTTCTCATGTGTACTTGACGTCTTGAATTGAGTAGCTTGTTGTTGAGATTGATATTGAGGCCCCAAGTGCCTATGAGTTGATATATGTGAAATAAAGATTGAAATAAGATGATTAATGAGAAAGGAACAACGCCTAGGTAAGGCGGCCTAGCCGATCAGGCCGTGGTCGGACACTATGCCGCACACATGGTGGTATTGTGCCGATATCAAATTCCGGAAATTGAGAATGAGATTGTGATTGACGTAGATGTCTCAAATGAGGCAACCTAGCTGATCGGGTCGTCATCGGACTCCGTCCAAGAAAGCGGTGGTATTATGAATGATGATGGACAATATCAAGTGCCCCAAACTAAGTTATGAAAATTATGTGAAAGATTATATGGTTCGTTTATTTGATGATGTGGTGATTGTTAAAGCTTTTGATTGACCTTTATGAATTCTTTATTCTTGTTTGATAGTTCTTTCTAACTAGATGGTGTTTAGTTATACATACTAGTGCTATTCGATGGCACTAACGTCCCTTTTGCCGGGGGCGCTACGTCTTTAAATGGATGTAGGTGTTCCTATAGCAGGCAGTGTTTGTCGCAGCTAGTGCCACATCATTCTTTCAGCTGACTTGGTGAGCCCCACTTCATTTCGGGGATCTGTTTCATCTATTTGTCTTGTACATTATATTTGAGGTATAGCCGAAGACTTGTTGCCGGCATTTCCATTTAACATTACTCTTGAGTTATGTTTAGAGGCTCCGTAGACAGGTTGTGGGTAGTGTCAGGTATTGGAAATAATGTAGAAACATTGATGTTTGGCAAAGATTTATAAAACTTGTAATATTTTGATAATTATGATTTAAGTTGCTAATGGAAATGAAATGAAAGTTATTAATGAAATACTTACTAAATATGATTAATGGAGTCCATCTCCTATTTAATCATGAGGTTGGTTGGGTAGAATGAAACCTAATAGGCTTGCTCAGTCGGGTTTACTCGGTTGAGCGCCGGTCGCGCTCCTCTGATTTTGGGGCATGACAGAAATGTTCTTTGCATGTGGCACTGTTGAGCTTCCGATAATCCATACACACCCTCCAACCAGTCACCGTTCTTGTTGGGATGAGCTCATTTTTATCATTTTCAATTACGGTCATGCCTCCCTTTTTCGGCACACATTGCACCGGGCTCACCCAAGAACTATCGGCAATAGGGTAGACTACCCCGGCATCCAACCACTTGATGATCTCTTTCTTTACCACCTCTTGTGTTGACGGGTTCAACCGTCATTGATGTTCCACACTTGGTTTCGTTTCACTCTCCAATTGGATCTTGTGTTCACAAATTCCCGCGGGAATTCCTCGAATATTCGCAATTGTCCATCCAATGGCTTGCCTATGCTCCTTCAAGACTTCCAACAATTGTTCCACCTGCACATCATTCAACAAAGAAGAAACAATTACGGGTAAAGTATCATTGGAGCCGAGAAATTTATACTTCAAGTGTGGTGGAAGCGGTTTGAGCTCTAGTTGTGGTGGCTCGATAATAGAAGGCTTTGCGGGCGGAGTGGCTCTATTCTCCAAGTCGAGAGAGAGCTTAGCCGGAGCATAAGTGTAATATCCAAGCCCCTCCAATGCATTTACCAATTCCATATATCCTTCCATATCTTCACCATCAAAGTTCACCAAAATAGCTACCAATGCCTCGCCGAGGCATTGTTCTTCCATTTTTATTTCAACCGCATCCTCTACTTCATCAACAATATCTATCACCGAGATGTTCTCATACTCATGGGGTAGTTTCATGCCCTTGCTTGCTTGGAACGTAACTTCCTCATCATTCACGCGGAATTTGATCTCATTCTGTTCTGAATCTATTAGTGCTCTCCCCGTGGCAAGGAATGGTCTCCCCAAAATGATAGGGATCTCTTTATCGACCGCACAATCAAGGATCACGAAATCGGCGGGCAAATGAAACTTTCCCACTTTTACAAGTACATCGTCTACAATTCCCACCGGTCATTTGATGAATTTGATCGGCCATTTGCAATCTCATACTAGTAGGCCTTGGCATACCTAACCCCGCTTGCTTATAGATGGCAGGAGGCATTAAGTTGATGCTAGCCCCATTATCACAAAGGGCTCTAGAAAAATCACGTGCCCCAATAGTACAAGAAATGGTGAAAGCTCCCGGATCTTCTTTCTTTTGAACTGTAGATGTTGCAATGATGGAACTAATCCGGTGAGTCACATTCACCACTTCATTCTTTGTAGTCCTCTTCTTGGTGATCAAATCTTTTAAATATTTAGCAAACCCAGGCATCTCTTGAAAAGCTTCCACAAATGGAATATTCACCGATAATTGCTTGAGAATGTCGTAGAATTTTTCAAGTTTGCTATCATCAACCTTTCTTGCGAGCCTTTGAGGGAATGGAGGAGGAGGTCTAGGAATAGGTGGAAGAGTTTTTGGTGTCTCTTTTACCTTTTCCTTTACCTCTTCCCGGTCCTCTTTTTGCACTTGCAACTCTTCCGGAATCTTTTCAATTTCGACAACACTTGGCTCTTCAACCTCAACCCCTTTCTCGGACTCTTCTACTTCAACTGTTTGTTCACCCTCTCCTTGTAGGACCTTCCCACTCCTAGGAGTGATTGCCATGATGTGAGAAGTTGGGCCACTCCTACTACCCCTTGGGTTCGCAATTGTGTCACTAGGGAGTGTCCCTTTTTGCTTCGGGTTTTGTTCCCTTGAGAGGTCTGTCATTTGCATCTCCAGGTGGTATGAGATCCAACAATCTCGGTCATGTTCCTCATAGAAGCGTCGGATTTTTCTTGATTTTGCAACACTCGCTCAAGCATACCTTCCAACTTAGATTCACTAGAAGAGCCTTGATTTGAATATTGGCCCTTAGGAGGAACATAAGGGTTTGAACTCCGGTTAGAAAAGTTGTTGTTGTTGTTCCAAGTCCCTTGGTTTGAGCCACCTTGATCATTTCGCCATTGTTGGTGGCCTTGCCCTTGCGGGTTTGGCCTCCATTTGTTTTGTTGTCTTTGATACCCTCCTTGAGGGTTGTTGATGTAGTTGGCTTCCTCAAAATCCTCATTTGATATAGCTCGCACATCCTCCACTACATTCACCTTTTTTGTCTGACTTTCCGTGAGCATTTTTGTCAACACATTGACAATTGTGGCAAGCCCTGCGATTATTTGGTCCCTCTCTTGATTCTCCTTAATCAGATTGGTCAAGGAAGGAAAACCATATGCAATTCCGCCTGAGGTATCCTCAGAGTGCCAAGCTTGATTATGTTTTGCCATTTTGTCAAGTATTTGTGTGACTCTTGCGAATGATTTGTCCATAAAAGATCCGTCAGCTGCATTCTTCGCTATAGCTTGGTTCATAGGATCCAAGCCCATGTAAAATTTCTCTAACAAGATAGAGTCTGGAAAACCATGATTGGGAGACCTCACCAAATATAATTTGAATCGATCCCATGCCTCATGTAGATGTTCCCCCTGCTGTTGCTTGAAGAAGAAAATTTTATCTCGAAGCTCAGACTTCTTGCTTTGTGGGAACCATTTAGCTAAAAATGCCCGTACAAGTTCAGGCCAAGAACGGATGGAATTTGGTGGCAAGTTTTGGAGCCACCTCATTGCGTCTCCAGCTAGTGAGTACTTGAACACCCTCAACCTTAGGGCATCATCTGAGACATTGTTTTGCTTATGCATAGCACATACTCCCAAGAAGTTCCTAAGGTGTTGTGTTGGATCATCATCGGTGGAATTCCTGAAAAAACCCTCAGCTTTGAGCATTAGAATTAGACCATGTTCCACTTTGAAAGTTGAAGCACCAACAACCGGAGGTACAATAGCATTTGTGTCCTCAATGTACTCATCTATGTCCACAAAAGGATTTTCATCCACTTCTTCCTTGTAGTCTGACATGTTTTCCTATCAACACCAAGAAAAGCAAGCGAAGAGTGATGGAATAGAATAAGACGTAAAGTAAAGCACACACTAATCAGTAATTTCAAAACCGTATTCCCCGGCAACGGCGCCAAAATTTGATACGCTCAAATTACACATTACTAAATAGTGTAAGGCGGTCGGTGTCAAATATAATAACCCAACAAGGTTGGGGTCGAATCCCACAGGGAATAGGTGTGAAAAACTACTTAATTAGTGTATCACTTGACTTATATCTTAATTCTACCCGGTTAATTGTAACAAGAGTATGGTATAATTGTGATTTGAAGAAATAACTAATGTTGAGATTTAGAATGTAATTAACTGGATTAAAGAAACCAAGGTTGTGTCCCCTTCAATGGAATGTAATGCTACCGGTGTTAATGTGATATATTTCTAATGGAAGGTCCTTTATGATGTGCAAATGATTTCTAATTGACTACCCAATATTTTCCAACAGTTGGGTAGTATTTCCTCTTTATGATTTTTTCAAATACAAAAGAGTTGCAATTAAGAACAATCAATATATGCCAAATAAAACCCACTTATTCCTAAGCGATTCTATTAAACAAGGGTTAACGCCTTGAGTCTTTGATATTTACTCCTACCAAATTCTAACCCACTTTTCCAAGCAAAGCAAGAATTTAATGGCACTTGTTAATGTTTGCAACCACCAACAATAAATGAAGAATGAGGAGTAAATGAACATCAACCAACCATTATGTATATATTCAATGGTAAACACCCATTAACATTACACCCATTTAGGGTCCACAACCTTAGTATTTAAAGTTATCTACTCATGCTAAAATACAAAATGAAGAGAATATTTAATGTCATAAAGCTTACAAAGTGAAAGATTGTTGAACCAAAAGCTTCCCAAAGTGAAGAATATTAAAGTCTTGTATTCTAGCTCCCAAATTCAGACAAGATGAGCCCATAAAATCACAATAAATCTATTTATAGAGGGCCAAAAGTCGAGACAGAAAACGGACAAAAATGCCCTTTCCGGTCAAGTATGCGACCGCATTTCTGTCGCAAATCAAACATGCCCATCGCATTCCAGAACCCTAGTTTCCTTGCCATCATCGCATTGTGGGTTTACGGTCCGCATTCCAGATATGCGATCGCATTCCGCGTCGCATTTTCACCATCAGTACTTCTTTTCGTGAGTTTGCGGTCCATTATGCGGTCCGCAAACCTGTTATGCGATCGCATTCTGGACCGTATTTCTTGCACCAAATTTTGGCTAACTTTCTGTTTAGAATTGCGATCCTCTGCACAGTTATGCGGCTCGCATGTGGGGTTTGCGATTACATAATGCGTCGCATATCCACATTTGTGCTACATTTGCTCTTTTCTTGTCTTTATGTTTTCATTTCCATGCTCTTGGGTTTTTAAACCTCATGTACTGCAAAAACACTAAAATTACATAAGTAAAGGAGATAATTGCATTCAAAACAAGCTAAAATCTAAGCAATTAGTATTGAAATGTGCCAAAATTCTCTAGCATATCATCGACACCAGAGCTTGACCGGAAATCCACGTCGGCAACCTCTAGCTCTGACCAAGCACCGGAAAATTTCGAATCGAACCCAAACGCCTCAACTACTCCATTCTGATACAACTTGTGAAATTCATATAGCCATAAAGTTCAAACATTTGTTATGATGGCTAATGGGCTTCTCTAGTTCCTCTCCCGATTTTGGACAGAAATTCGCCATCCCCTCTTACTCTCGTTCCCTCTCCTTTTCTTTTATTCATGTCCCTCTGTTTCTGTTGCTGTGCGTGTGCGTGAGTGGTGATGAGCGAATCAGGGGTATTGTGACTGTTGGGAACGGTTGGAGACGGGGCGTTCTGGTTTTGGAGAAGAGGAGGTCGTTGGTTTGGTCCTGGGCAGTAGAGGGTTCGGCGGCTGGAGTGTTGTCTGTGTTGTTGGCGATGGGAGCGAGTTTTGTGGTTGTGGAGAGCTGTTGGTTGGTGTTGAAGGAGTCACTGGTGGTGGTTGGTTGCTGCGAGGTGAGGGCTTTGGTGGAGTTGGGTGGTCGTTTGGAGTTTTTGTTCGTTGGTGTGGTGGTGTGGTGGGCGGCTGTTTTATTTTTGTTAAGGGGATCCTTAGGATTTTGTGTTCCAAGTCATAAGAAGAAGAGAACCCTAGGTTTATTAGGTTATTGGGGTTATGGGCTTTGGCTTCATATTTGGGCCTTAAAATTGGACTAAAGAAAAAAATGTTCAAACCTTAGCTAAATACCTTTTAATATAAGCCAAATAAACTACATATTGCAAAATCTATCTAATTAATTAAACTAAATTATATATAAAATATGAAACTATTTTTTGATATTTTTCAAATGTCATACTAAAACAATAATAAGACTAGATTAAAATCATCGCAAAATTAAGAGATACTACTACTAAAAACACTAATATTTAAATGCTAAAATAACGATACTAGACCTAGACTAAATATTTAAATGCTAAAATATGTAAAATCTTGGGAGGGTAAAAAACTAAAACATAATTTTTCATTTAAAATATTGGACTAAGATATGGATTCAACTCCCAATAATCATGGCCCAAAAATCAATTTGCAGAAATGACCCATTTTGTAAAAACGACCGATATGGCCAGAAGTGGCCAAAGATGCAAACTCAAAAAGGACGGACCTTAACTTAATATTACACCTAATTGTGGACTCAATATCCTAAGACATGGGTCATTGAACCACTTTTGCGAAAACGACCCCATTTTGGAAGAATGGCCGATGTGGCCAAAAGTGGCCAAACATACAAGATTTGGCTAAGACCCCGCGAAGCCAAGAACCTAAGACTTACTAGGAAGACCGGACCCTATGTGGGTTGCCTACGTATCCCGCCCCAAGAGACGAGAATCAGGTATGCGTTGTTTGGGAAGATTAGATATGGGATAGAATTTTAAAAAAAATGCATCTAATTTGAAAAAACTACATTTTTTTTGTCCTTTTGAAAAAATGATGGAAAATGTAAAATCTTTTTGATTTTTCCTTTTTGATTTTTTTTGACTTTTGAAAAATGATGGGAAAGTACAAAATCTTTTTGGATTTTCTTTTTTTTTCCTTTTTTTTTTATTTTTGGAAAATGATGGGAAAGTATAAAATCTTTTTGGATTTTTCATTTTTTGTATTTTTTTTCTGGATTTTGTTGAAAAAGTTGTAAAAGAAAAATAAAATTGGGCCCTACTTGCTTCATTTTTCACCCTTCTTTCCCAAACACTGGTCCGCCAAATGACCTTTTTACCCTCAAATATGCAACATGTATCACATAGGGATGATTGAATGTCGTTTTGGGCCACGGGCCCATTTTTGACAAAATTTGGATAGGCTTCCTACAAAGGGACACGGTGCCTGGGACCGAGCCCTACTAGGTCCAAATGACATGATGCAAATAAGAATGACCTAAAGACTGACCTAAATTTGGGGTTCACTAACAAGGCAATTCGGGGCAGCACGTGGTCGATGGCGGCTGCTCTAGCTGTCCGCCTACTCCACGCTCCCACGCCACCCCCCCAAAGACACGGGTGACTCACGAAAAGGCCATGTACGCTCAAACGTACTCCGGAAGACTTGTTGCAGAAAGAAGACCCATGGTTATGCAAATGATGATAGTTTATAAAGCAGTAACACATAAAGAAAAACGATAAACAAATAACCAACAAACAAGGAAATAAGATGATGTTTAAGCGTCAACACCACACAAGAGGGGGGGGGGGGTGATTTGTGTGGTACCTAATTTTCGCTCTAGAAGAACCTGGTTGTTCTAAGTGTACTAACTACTGCTGTTTGCGGAATAATAAATACAGAAAATAAATAACACAGAGATTTTTACGTGGAAAACACCTGGCTCAAAAGGTGAAAAACCACGACCTACTACTCAGTAGGATTTTCCCAAACTTCCACTAGATGAGAACTTTGATACTTGTTCTCAATGGGATGAGAACTTCGATACTTGTGAGGTTTCACAACCAACTGGTTTCTACTAGATGTTTCTTCTATGTTCTATTGCTGAGGAACAAGGTCATGAACAGGTTCCTTTAAGGGATTTATTTCAATTACTCTTTGATTAGTTCCCCCTGTCAGGTTTCCCTGGATGGAAGAACCTGTTCCATCACCTGTTCCTTCAGTTGGTGCCATTTTGACTTGTGCTGAGGCTTCAGTCAAGTCCTTTACAAATCCAATGACTTCATTTTCATGTTCCTGCCTCTCAGAAAGAATGTTAGTTTCATCAAATACTACATGTACACTTTCTTCTACACACAAAGTTCTTTTATTAAACACTTTACATGCTTTGCTATGTGAAGAATATCCCAAAAGTACTCCCTCATCACTTCTGGGATCAAACTTACCTATGGAGTCTTTTCCATTATTGTGCACATAGCACTTACAACCAAATGCCCTAAGATGGGATATGCTTGGTTTTCTCCCTTTAAGTAACTCATAGGGAGTCTTTTCTACAAGAGGTATAGTCATGCATCTATTGATTATGTAGCATGCAGTGTTTACAGCCTCTGCCCAAAAGCTGTGAGACAGTTTGCTAGAAAGCAGCATGGTCCTAGCCATGTCCTCAATAGTCCTATTCTTTCTTTCAACTACTCCATTTTGTTGAGGAGTCCTAGGGGCAGAGAAATTATGATCTATACCATTTTCATCACAGAATTCAGCAAACTTGGAGTTCTCCAATTCAGTTCCATGATCAGACCTAATGGATGCAAGTTGATTTCCTAATTGTTTTTGAGTTTTTCTAACAAATGCAGTAAATATGTCAAATGCTTCATCTTTGGAAGTTAGAAATAGAACCCAGGTAAATCTAGAATAGTCATCAACAAGCACCATTACATATTTCTTTCCACCTCTGCTCATGGTTCTCATTGGACTACAGAGATCCATATGGACCAGTTCCAACGACTTGGTTGTGCTTACCATTTTCTTGCTCTTGAACGATGAT